TTGTTTTTTTTTTTTTTTGTTTTACGTTCTTTTTTATCATGGTCTCGTTCATTTACAAACATAGTTGTCAAAATTGATCCTATATTTTTTCAAGGTGTTTTCAAAAGTTGTTTTTATCCGTTTTAGACATGTTCTTTATTAAATAGCTTTATGGTTTGTTGCCAAGCTACATTGCCTTTTACTAATCAGCTTTTATTTTATGTTTAGTGTGAATATTTTTAAGATATCCCTTAATGCTTTATGTGTTGTATGTATATAAGATACATATGTATAGCGATATAGTTCTTAGATATGGTTGACTTTGATGATATGATGAGTGTTGTTTGTGTTCGATTTCATTGGGTTCACCCTTTTTTTTTTTTTTTTTTATGGCAGTAACTCGATAAGAAAACCAACCCTTGCGTTTGATAATTGAAACCTTGCATGCTTGTTTGTTCGAACCCCATATGTTTACTTTTCTTGCATGTGCTATCGAGTCCCGAGACCTCGATTTTTCTTAGAATGAGTCTTTCATATGCATGGTTTATTTGATTCATTCCTAAATAATTTAGGTTTCTTGATGGATATGATGATGAGATGATTAATAAATGGTACATGTGTGCGTATCTATATTTTATTTTATCATATTATTATTAATGTTATTATCCTTTCACTTTTGGATGTGGCATGCTTGTTTGGATTTACTAGTTCAACGAGTGTTCGACCATAACGTGGAGAGTTATGTCCAAGGTTTGTTGAGTTGCTAGCTATCGAGCATAAACAAACTTTGCTTTTCTTTTCATTTTCTATTTTATGAACTTTAAACATTTATATATTATTCTTTCAAATTTATTTTTTTCATTTGAGATACATGTTTAACATCTATTGGTTATGTATTTTTATCATTTGCACGCACACACACACACACACACACACACACATATATATATATATATATATATCTTGCATAATAGATGCCTAAAGTTGTTTTTGGATCGAGTTCTTTTCTTATCTTTTTCTTCTGTCCTTTTTTCTTTTTATTTGATCTCATGAGCGAGCAAATCAGGGTTGGGTCTTTACGATTCCACATAGGTCCATTGAGTGAGAATGAGGATCTTTGAGTTATTTTCAATTAATCATGTTTAATACGTCTTTTACCTTCATTTGGATTTAACGTCCATTTACTTCAAAGTGAGAATAAGGCCTTTTGCTAGTCTAAATTGTTGTTCCTAACGCGTAAAAAAATTTATATAATAAATAAAAAATTCATTATAAATTAAAATGGAAAAAAATTAGAAATTTTTACCTTGATCATTAGGAAAAAAAATAGAGATTAGAATCACGTTACCATATTTTATAGTATATAGGTGACAAGACTATCAAAATAGTTTTACTAGAATTTTTAAGGGATTGTCTTGAGGCATATCCAAGTTGCTTTCTATGTGTCGTATGCATAATTTATTTGATGCAACGAGTCAAGAATATGTTGCACATCATCTCAATAATACAATAAGCTCGAGTTACCTTGTTGTTTCTTAACAAGTTTGTACTACTTGTAAGACTTGAAATTGTATAAAATAAAATAAAATAGTACCACTCTTGCCTAAAGAAAAAACAAATAAAAATTATATAGTTTTATAGTGGGAGATTAAAGAAGACAAAATTGAAAGAGATATTTTTTCTTTCTAAAAGAATGTCGCTATTCTTTTCTATGAATAAGAGAATAAGAATGTTGTTGTATGCTTTTTGTTGTTATTGAGCAAATAACATAAGGGAAATGCCCCGTATATAAGCTATAGGAATAAAATCTTTTTGAAAATGAATGCAAGAATTCAAAGCTTTTAAAAGCAAACGTATATAATTTTTTAATAACAACAAATGAGAATTTTGCATTTAATGTCCAAAATCTTTCAAAACTATTTCAAAATAGTACACATTACTATTTCAAATAATAACTTGTACTTCTTCTTTTTTTACACAATTGTTGAATATTTTATCAAAAATAATTCGAGACAAATTTCAAATCACTTGACTTTTAGAATTGATTAGTTTCCTACTTAATAATTATAATAACTCCTTTTTTTTTTTTTTACCTTCTATTTTACAAATTTTTCCAAAACAAAGTCTAAAAAAATCATTTATGCAAAAAAATTTCAAAATAATAATAATAATAATAATTGCTTGTTGTTAAGTTTCATGATTTTTAGGTATTTTGATAAATTTTAAAGGCTTATTGTACCATAAAAACACAAACTATACACATTTTAATCATTCCGGCATTTTTTTTAATTGATGAAAATACATGAACTAAGCTTTTGGTAACCGTTTCAGCACTGAAACCATTCAATATTCCGAGTTCATATAATGTGGCATGACATGTAGGATTCCACTTTGGATAAACGTCCACATATGATGACATGTGGTCAAAAATTAAAATTTTAGTTTGAATGGACGATATGTCATCCACTAATGATTCACAATTCTAAAAACAAACAAAACTAATTCGATTCATAAAAAAAAACAAATCCCATAAATTAATAAACCCATCAAACATAAACATCATACCCCTAATGATAAGACCTAAGAGGCAAAACACCAAGAAAAGCATCAACAACTATCGAAAAAAAAAAAAAAACCAAAAAGGGATACCACATAGATATTTCTAAATATTTTTCTTTTCTTTCCCTTTTTTCCCCTTTTTATGGTCAAGGATATGGTTCGTCGCTAGTGGCCATTGAATTATAATCAACATCATCACCAAGCACCAATATGGTACTTACTGATCTGTATTGGAGAGATGAGCTCAGCTAGAGCTCTCTAATTACCACCTTGATTAAATCCTTAATAGTGATGAGTTTTGCGACCAAAACAATTATCTCCATGCTAGCTTTGTAGAGACCAAAACTATCGCATAAAAATAATTTAGATGGTTTTATATTATTCTGTATGTACATTTATAGCCTCTTCAGCCTTGTAATATAGCCTTCTCATTTTGTAGACACCAAATCTAATTTGATGAATGCATTAGAACATGAATCTACCTTATATGTGTGTGTGATTTTTCATAATTTTTGGTCTGGTATTTTTTTCCTTAATTTTTGAAAACAATTGAAAAAAGAAAAAAAATCTAGGAGAAGAAAAAAACAACAAAAGGAAAGTCAGGAGAGAAAAAAATCAAGATGAAGTTAAAAATAAAAGGCTAGAAGAAAAAAAAATCACGGTGAAGCTAAAAGATAGTTAAAAAGAATGAGACCAAAAAGAAAATAAAAAGAAGTAGGGGTAGAATTAGGAGAAAATAAAAATTAAGGATCGAAAATAAGAAAAAAGAAAAGAGAAGAAAATAAAAAATGCAGGGACAAAAGAAAACAAAGGAAAAGAGGATCTAAATAAACATAAAAAAGGTTCAAGTACTGAAGAGAGAGACAACAAAAATGAGAGATGAAGGAAAACACCACTTAAATGAAATGATGGGTTTTAACCATTGAAAATTTTAGATAAAATAATCAAGGATGAAAATCCTTGGTGATGCCATTATTTTCTTTTCTTCTTCCTCTCTTCCATCCACAGTTTTTCTTTCTTCTTTATCTGTTCTGTTGTTTGCCTAATTAGGCAGCCATCTTTCCCACGTTTCCTAAAGTATATTGATCGTAATCAGTCTTTGATTAAACGCAATTAAGAAATTTAAGTGAAATTCTTCTTTGAGAAATATTACATTACCACAGTTTTTAAACGAATAGAATACATGATAATCGTAAGACATTTGATTGATGGGACTTGTACACTAATCATTTGATTGGTGGAATCCATATCATATAAGGACATGAGCCTCATGCACTAATCTGACGACGTACAATTCTCGTGTATTCTATTCGTGATACTAACGCGTGATTTGAAATAGATTTTGTCTTAATCTTCATATAATAGAAGTATTGCCTTCCTCAAAATTTTGTAATTGCTCCAAATGTTGTAATATTAGGTACAATGTATATGCAGAGAATAGTTGTTATGGCACAATCCATATTTGTAAATGGCAAGTACGGAAATATTCATTTGTGTTTAGGCAAATAAGGTAATTAAATATGTTTATTTAAAATAAATTCCAAAACGAGCAAAGACCTATTTATAACCACAACACACATTACCATTTCTTCTCATCTATTTACAGTAAAAAAGTAAGTATCACCCACCTTCCTTATAAACTTAGCTAGCCACCTTCTGTAAACCATTGGATTATGGCATAGATATAATCCAATTTTAAATCAAACGGTGTAAAGACCATCAAAAAACTTCTCTCATCACTACTGGCGTTACAAAGTGCATAAACTATTGAATATTTGTGCAAAGACTTCCACGAGATAATTACACGCACATTTAAAAAAAAGACTAAGTTAAAAACTAGTCATGTATATCCTCTATTATATGTGGATAATTGATACACTAATTTTAAATATTTTTTTAAGTGACTACATGAATTTTAATTTTATTTATTTGAGTAAATTATTTTTTTAAAAAATTATCAATCAAGTATTTCTATTAAAATTTTTTCAAAATTATTTCATTTTTTGATGACATGTTCTTCCCCTGAAATTACTACATTATGATTTTATCTATTTATTTTTATGGAGAACTTTCTCTCTCAGCTTATTATCTCATCTTCTATATTTTAGATATAAGGATAATTTAAATATTTACTATATAAAAAGAAAAAACTAACAAAATAATTTGAAAGGGATAATTTCTTCTAAAGATAAAAGGATAAAATTATAATTTAATTGTCTTGGATGGCTACCAGATAAAGGATGGATTGACGAAAATTTGATAAAAATACTTAATTGATAATTTTTTAAAATATTAATACACTTATACGAATAAAATTTTAAGTTTACATATTCAATTGAAAAATATTTAAAACTCATATACTTATAAGGGAGTCATTCCTACTATGTGTGTGTATATATATCCACACCCACCTTTGTTTAAATCGTGTCCTAAAACAATATTAGTGTAGCAGACATATATCAATGATTCTTTCTGCCATCACCACGAAAGAAAAATCAAAATCCATTGCTATGAACAAGGAAAGCACCTCAAAAACAAAGGTGGCCAATCCCAAATCCGGAAAAGATCGCCATTCAAAGGTGAATGGCAGAGACCGTCGTATTCGCCTGCCAGTTATCTGTGCTGCCAGGGTATTTCAGTTGACTCAGGAGCTTGGTAATAAGACTGATGGTGAGACCATCGAGTGGCTTCTACGCGTGGCTGAGCCAACCATCATTGCAGTCACAGGAAATGGTGTTGGTACGAGCAATATTAATCCTGATTGTGCTCCTGCTGCGAGTGTCAACACAACACCAGTTCCATACTCTCTTGGCCTGCATCCATTAGGTTCTTCGGGGATTTCGAGTCCCTTTAAATATCCTTCTGATCCAAGATCTATGGAACCAACTCAAACTCAAGGCTTGCTTTTTAAGAACTGTGAGGTTTCTGGGAATGAACCACAGACATTCCCTCTTGGTTTTGAAAGTCTGGAAACTAATTTTGACAATGGAATTTCCTGTCAATAATTTGTTTCCATCAGTGAATGATCAGGAAGAATAGATGCAAGTGAAAGTGTTATCACAAACAGAGTGCATGATTTTCTTCTACAACTGAAAGATTCAACAATAAGCTTATGTGCATAAGTTTTTACTTTTCTTTTGTTTGGTTAATGTTGGGATATTATATTTTCCATAATCATTTGGTGTATAATTAGCTTTTGAGTTCCAAATCCAATAGAATGAAAAAGCAGTCTCTCTACTATGTGTTTGTTAATTCCCAAAGTCATTTTTGTTGAAAATTAATCAAAGCAATGTTGTTATGTATGTTATAGGGCAAGATTTAGGATTTGGACAGTGCAAGGGTACAAACCTCAAATTGATGAAAAGAAAATCTAAACAAAAGATGATGATGAAACTGCGTTTTCATTCCTATCTTCATATCATTGTATATGAATTTCGAATTAGTGGTGAATTTTCAGTTTCAAAGTTGTCAGAAAAGTTTAGCTACAAGTGCTACTAATTTGGTTGCATAGTAATTTAATTAATTCTTACGTTGTTTGCTGCCGTGAAAAGACCTCGATTCCCACGGGAGAGAGAGGTATAAATACAAAAAGGGACTTTAGGTTTTCTTTCCTTTTTTTTTTTTTTTTTATCTGCTAATCTTCTTTGAAAATAAGTTCTTGTTATTTTATAGAATAGATATTAATGTGAGGAATTTAATGAATACAAACGTTCAAAGATAATCATATAATACGATTAAATTTTGTATATGTGTTTTTCTCTTCGAGTTTTTTCATAGCATGAGATGAGATAGACAAAATACGCCAAACATAATTATAACAAATGATCCCAATTAGTTCAAGTCATTTTATCATTTATGTCAAAGACATTATTTGAAATTTACTCATTTATTACATACATGCTAATTAATTTAGTTTGTTAAGTATCTACATCATTACCATTGTAAAGTCACTTATTGCAACTTTAATACTGCGGTAAATTAAGTTAACAAGTTAAATAGATTTAAAGAAATTACTTATAATTAAGTTTGGATGGTCAAAGTTCTTATTCGAAGATTACTTGCCTTTTGCACTGGGAACTAATGCTAGAACTTGAAAAATGATAATAATGGAGTAACTTATCAAATTAAGACCTTCTTTAATACTACTGTAACTTGAACTAATTGCATATGAATATTTTTGTAAATGTATTCTTTTTACAACAACTATATACAGAGTAAAATTATTTCTTTAATTTTATTTTGTAATTCTCTTTGAAATTGAACACTCCTTTATTCTAAATAATAATTACTTGTGCATTTGGTTTTTTTATCACCATGTATGTGTAAAGATTATATGTTTCCCTTTTTGCATTAAATGTACACGTAAGTTACAACATACACACACACACACGATATATATATATATATATATATATTTGCAGTGGCTTAGAAGTGTAGCTAAACCAAACTATTAAGTCTCTTATAGTAAGTTGTTTGAGAGGCATAGGATGCCGATGAGGAGGGACAGGGTAGGTCTTGGAACATTTATCCTTATCACCCTCCCACAAATTGTGCAGGGCTATCCTTATCTCTCAACTTGGAAAACTTGAGTTTGGATAGTGGCTTGGTGAGGATGTCCACAATCCGATAATCAATGGAAATATAGGTTACTTTTAACGGGCCTTGTCGGACCTTGTCTCGGACAAAGTGAACATCAATTTCAACATGTTTCGATCCGGAGTGGAATATAGGTGTGGTTGTCGGATAAGTTTCTGGAATATTGTCACACTTGATCACTAGGGGTGCTGAAATTAGGATGCCAATTTCGATCAATAGGGATTGTAACCGATCAAGTTCAAGCACAAGAGGAGGCTAAAGCTCCGTATTAAGCTTTTGTAGTAGACCGAGCAACCACCTGTTGTTTTTTGGACCGCTAGAAAATGATATTTTTGCCAAGAAAAATAGTATAGCCGGAGGTACTTTTTTTGTCATCTATATCCCCACTCCAATCGAGTCGAGTCGTATAGGCATTGAGAGAGGAGATGTCAAAACGTTGAATGTGAAAACTATGAGACTTTGTAGCCTAAAGGTACCGTAGAATTCTTTTGACTCGCAAACTAGTATTCATTAGTTAGGCAATGCATGTATTGTGCAACCTTGTTGTCGAATAGGCTAAATCGAGCCGGATAATACCTAAGTATTGTAATCGACCAACAATGCTACGATAGAGAAAAGGATTAGAGAATGTTGATCCGACGGTGGCTTGTAGCTTCACACTAAGGCAAGCTAGAGTGCTTAGCCCCTTGGCACCATGCATTTTTGCCTTTTCTAGAAGTTGAGTTGCATAATGGTATTGGTTAAGGAAAATACCAAAGCTGCTCCAATGTACCTCAATACCCAAAAATAATACAAAGCTCCAAATTGTTTGATCGCAAAGCTGGATTTAAGCTCTTGTATGGTTGAGAGAATTAAGGATGAGTTATTACTAGTGACAATCAAGTCATCTACATAGATGAGACAAAAAATAGCATCAACCCCTCGGTGTTTATAATACAATGAAACATCTATCTTAGAGCCTTGAAAACCAATGCAACATAATTTGTTAGTTAAACAACGATAACAATTACCATAGTGTACTGTTTTAATCCATACAAGGATTTTTTGAGTTTGCAAACATATGTGGGTATGGTGGAGTCAACAAATCCTTGGGGCTGCATCATGTATACTATTTCCTCAATTAGACTATGCATTGGAGATGTCCAATTTGTCTATCTTTCGGTTAAGAGATACCGACAAGAGATAAAATTAACTTGATCGTTGAGGGCTTGATGATCGGACTATACGTCCTAATATAGTCGAGACCAAGTCGTTGATGAAAGCCTTTGGCAATGAGGTGCGCTTTGTAATGATCAATTAAGCCATCGGGTTTGGTTTGATACGATAAACCCACTTATTCCCTATGACATCATAATGTGGCTTTCGTGGGACAAGCTCTTAAGTTCCATTATCTAGCAAAGTTTGGAACTCCATAGCCATGGTAGTACACCGTTCGATTGTCGATTGGCTTGGGTGAAGTTACTCGGGTTCGATGGGATGTATGATGGTAGAAAAAATTCTAGGTTTCAGGAACTTATCTTGCTATGAGTAACCATAGGATGAAAGGGGGTTGGTGTTTGGGGATGTGAGATCTATATGTAGTGGTAATGGAAAAGCACGGGTAGTGGAGGAGGATATGTGAATTAGGGTATATTGTAAACGAGTTGGATTTGGAATGGTGGTTTTAGTGTTTGATGAGGGATCTATTGTGGAAAGAAGAAAAAGTATTGGTATGCGGTTATGATGGATGAGAGGAAATAGTTGGTGACGGGTTAGAGCATAAAGGAGGTGCCGATGGTGTAGAGGTAGTGTTTGGAGAAGTTATTTGTGAGGCTGATCGGAGTATAACGGAAGGTGTGTAAGCGGATGGGTTTGGGTGACGGGACGGGCTAGAATGGTTTGAGTGTGGCCCAAATTAAAGTGTGGTATCTGCTAGGGAAGGCCTAGAGATTTGTTGAGAGAGCGAGGGTCGGACAACGTGCACAACGTTTGGATTGGGCCTTTGGGGATGAGGTCGGCTAGTGTGGATATGGGTTAGGCTTATTTGTGGGTTCTGTGAGGGTAAGGCTAGAGTGAAGTGGTTACATGGCTAGTTAGTATGGTGGGGAGATATGGGTTGAGGTGGTTGTATCAAGGCGGAATAGTAGGGAATTTGAGTGTTTTGATTTGTTGATAATGGTATAGTAATGGTTGAGGACACCTAAACATCTTTATTTGATGACGCAAATGGAAATACCTACTCATCAAAACAAACATGACATCGAGAAAATTATTTTTTCAATAGAAGTATTATAATAAACATACCCTTTTATGAATTTTATTGTAGCTAAGAAAAACACAAGTAGAGGAATGAGGTGTTAATTTATGTTTGGAATATGGTCTTAACCATGGACAACAAAGGCACCCAAAATTTTTTAAGTCATCATAGGGAGGAGTAGTATTAAAAAGGATTGAAAAAGGAGATTTATTGTTTAATCAAAGAGTTGGCGATCCGTTGATGATATATGTTGCAAGTATAAAAAACATAGGTCTAAAATTTTAGTTGGACGGAGGCATGGTGAAGAAGGGCTAGGCCGGTTTCAATAATGTGTTTATGTTTTCGTTCAACATAACCATTTTGTTCCGAGGTTTTTGGGTAAGAACTTCATTGAGAAATGCCATTTTCGAGTGAGATATTTTATGAAAGCTTGATACTCTCCACCCCAATCGGACTCAAATATTTTAATAGGTTTGCCAAAAAAATTTTCAACAACATTTCAAAATTTAATAAAACAATTAAGCACCTCGCATTTGTAATGAATAGGAAATATCCATAAATATTTACCGTAATGATCAAAGAATAAAACATAATAAGAGAATCCATCAATAGAGGGGATAGGAGATGGTCTCCATAAATCATAGCATATTAATTTCAAATGACTAGATGTTTTACATTCGGATGCAAAAAAAGGTAGCTTATGTATTTTACTAATAGAACAAGCATGATATAATGAAGATAATTTATTGGAGGTTATAGAAAATTTGGTGTTCTTAAGAGCTTGATGAACTCGTTTAAGTAGAAGCATGGCCAAGACGTGCATGCCGGGTTTGTATGGAGGACAAATGAGCTTGAATGGAAAATGGATGTCTTAAGACGCCATTCAAGGAGAGTGTAAAGACCATTTTCAAGCGATCCTCTAAGAAGCATCTGTTGTGTATTCAAATCCTTTATAACAAAATGGTCAAGATAAAATTCAATAGATATAGAATTATTTTTGGTACAAGTAATGACAGGTAGAAGATTATAAGAACTAGAAGGCATATACAAAATATTATTAAGACATAAAGAATTATTTTATAGACGAAAGGAAGAGGAGCCAATGTGAGAGATTAAAAGGGGATTACCATCTCGTCAAAGTAACTTCTTCCGGACCGGAGTAGTCATGATGTA